AGATAAAGGAAGGAAAAGAGGAAAAAATACAGAATGTACAGGTAAAAAAGACTACTCATTCTACCCTCCACTAACTGTTGTAGAAATTGGGATAAAAACATATGACTCCAAACTTTTACTTAGGGCAGGTGATGTTGAGTCAATTTCTGGTCCTGAAATCCCAGAAACCCCTATCCTTGATGAACAAAACTTCTATGTGACATTTGATATCCCTGACATTGAATTATACCCACACAAAGAATTTCAATTTGAAGAAATGGCAATCACAACTGAGGGAAAAGAAATTATTAAACAAAAATGTCATAACCATATATACTCATGCCCTTATTGTACCAACATTAATGAATGCTTTAAAAAGTTTATGTTCTTTTACATAGGGAAAAAAATCACCATGAGTAACACGATGGTAGCGGTGATTATTGAGTGCTTAAAAAAATATAGATGTGCCTTCTGCCTGGAATACACTAGTAATAACCCCAACACTTATCTTCCAGATGGGTTCACCTGCGGGCAGGATTGTGAAACCAACTATATGAACAAATTTATTTGCACATTTGACGAGGATGAGAAAAGAATTAAATTTCTCAACATACATAGATCCAGGGCACAATGGATCAAATACTTGGGCCTTAGAGCAATGAATAACATTGGAAGAATTCCTACCTGTGGGGAACACTTCACATACAAAATATGCCTCCTAGACAGTATTAATCTTAATGGAATTTCTGATTGGATTGAAAACCTCATCAATACCACCAAAGAAAGAAAACTCAGGGCCAATAAGAAAGTAGTTAAAAAAGTCGATAAAGATCATATAATTAAACTCATAAATTCTATTGCAGGTGGAGCAATGTGTGCAGGAGAAAAATGTCTCAAAAGCCTCTGGCTCTACCAGGGCAAAGCAGAGTACGATGAGAAAACAGGCCTGCAATACTGCTCACTTAAGTGTCATAACACAAGACCTTGGAATGGCAGATTAAACATACATGAAGTAAAAATAAACATAATACAAGCATCCCTAATAGAAACCTATGATCTAGGTTATGTCAAAATATATCAAGAACCAAGAGTGGGTGGTGCGTCACTTATGGCTCAATTAAACAACTTCACGGCAAGAGAACATCTACATCCAAACAACAATGTCACCCCCGGGTTAAAATAAAAGGTACATGTAAAATGGTAACATGGAACATGCAGGGAGCTAACAATTGGGAGCAAGCCAGACAGTTTTTAAATCAAAGAAAACCAGCAGTTCTTTGACTACAGGAAGCAAAAATCAATGATGAAAATAGGAGACAATTCCAAAACAAAAATTATAACGCCTTTTTTAAGCAAAATAATAACGACTTAATAACATTTATAAGGAAGGACTACAAGGCCACCATAATAGAAGATAACAATTATGACGACATATCAACCCTGATAACAGAAATAATTGCAGAAGGAGATAAAATCACAATCATAAACCTCTATGCAAGAGATGGTAAACTCAAAGGAGAACATTTAGAGTACCACTTTGAGAAGTACAAAAAAACCATAATACTGGGTGACCTTAATGCAAAACATTTAAAATTACTGCCCCACATGCAGAAAGTGCCCCACAACAGAAATGGCGCACAACTAAAAAAATACTTGGAGGGAAAACTAAACATAGACACCTCTCAACCACCGGTATATGTCCACAACATCAGTGATGAAGCTGAATGGACACATGCCACTCCTGATGGAAAATGGGCACAGATAGATTACATTATATTTTAGCTACGCTCAAGTTAATAAACACCTGTTTAAATAATTACTTTATTACTACTTTAAAATACTGAAATTTATGCAAAAGTAAAAGATAGATAGATGACGTGGCCGGAAACTGCTCAACCTGCCGCGTCTTGATATTCGGTTTTAAACTCCTCCAGAACTTCGTCTTCCGCCACTACGCCGCCACAATATCACATAATGACATTACTCATTAAATAATAAACACGAGCTATGAATACGAACTGATCTCAGACCATCAGGGTTTATCTGTAATGGCCCCTGAATTGTTTCTCGAAATCCAAACTCTCAAAACTTAAATATGTACCAGACTGGAAAACATATGATCCATGGAACTACAAACTAACAACTGAAATGATGTTAGAGGCTGCAGTAATAACAGGTAGATGGTATGAAAAATCAATTGAACGTGTCAATAACATACAAACTAGCCTCTAACAGAGGAAATACTAAGCCCAGGAAAATTATAAACCTCATTAAACAAAAAAGGAAGTTAGAAAACGGACTCAGGAAGCTGGCCTCAGACACTAGGAAAAAGAGAGAGGAAGCATATCAAATAATCTTTGACCTTTACTCCTCACAATACAAAAATCACTATACAAAAAACCAATACAAACATTGGGAGAACAACCAACAAAAGTACAGAACAGAAATTCATCAACTAGCAAAAAGAATAAACTATGCAATACTGGATCAGAAGAAGAAGAATTGGGAAGCAGAATTAACTAAGTTAGGGGAAACAGACATAAAAAAGGCCCCCAGGGAATTCTACTCCTCACTAAAAAGGTTAGGAGGCACAGGTAAGAACGGGACTAACATCAGGAAAATGGAATACAAAGGTAACACAGCATGCACTGAGATAGGTATTGCAAACATAATGGCCAACAGCGCGCAAGATACCTTTAAACCACTAGATGATCCTCACTTTGATTATCAACACTTTCAAAATCTAAGTAATGAATGGGACGATGCACAAGAAGCATTAGAAACCAGTAACAACAACATCATCACCAAAAGTAATAACCTACAATGTGATAACTTCACATGGTCACCTGACTCAGCAACACTAAAAGAAGGAAAACTTAAAAATACAAGCAATCCAAACTCAGAACCCAATCTTACCAAACACCAAGTCAAAGAATGGGACAAGGATAACAAAAATCAATACAGAAAAATAAAGGAAACACTACCAGAAGCCCCAAAATTAAACATACCGGTAAACAAAGATTGGAATGAGGGACTGGCACATAATTGTGAAACTGCAGTCAGAGAACTGAATAAAATTTACAAGAAGTTTGACACTGATGACCTGAATAAAGTAATAAACAAGATGTAAAGAAAAGCCCCTGGGCATGATAAAATCATGATTGACCAATTCAAAGACCTAGGGGAGGGAGGAAAAAGAATGTTCCTGGAAGTAATAAATGAAATTTATGAAAAAGGCGATTTTCCTGATATATGGAAACAAGCTATAATGGTACCTATCTTAAAAAAAGATAAACCTGCAAAAGACCCGGCATCATATCGACCTATCTCTTTACTACCGGTAGGAGCAAAAATAGTTGAAGCCCTAGTTCTCTCAAAAATCAATCCATATCTGGAAAAAAGAGGCCTAATCCCAATAATACAAACTGGATTTAGAAAAGGAGAAAGCACCTCAACAAATCTTAAAAGAATATATACAAAAACTTACACCAAAACCATAAGAGCCACTCACCCCCAGCCAACCATACTTGTATGCTTTGATGCAAAAAAAGCTTTTGACAGTGTATGGCACATAGGGTTATTCCACAAGGGCATGAGAGACGGAATTCCTGCCATACTAATCAGGTTTCTGAGATCATGGTTCCACAACAGAACAATGAAAATCAAAATAGGTGAAGAATACAGCAGAAGTATAAAACTAGAGTCAGGAGTCCCGCAAGGCTCAGTTCTGGCCCCAGAATTATGGAACTACTCAACAGGAGACATCCCCACAACCAGAACTGCACACAGTGATACGGCTATCTACGCTGACGATGCCTCATCAGCTAATTCACACAGAAACCTTGACACACTACTGGAAATAACGCAAAAGGAAATTTGGCAACTGGAAGAATGGACTAGAATGAAAAGAATTAAATTTGAACCCACCAAAACTAACATTCTTGCTATCAGTAAAAAACCAGAGACCAGGAGAGAAATAAAAAAACACACCCTTTTTCTTGACAGGGAAAAAACTGAAAAACTTAAATACACCGAGCATGCCAAGTTACTTGGAATCACCTTCTCCGAAACTGGAACCTTCCATAAACATTTCGGCGAAAAATTAAAAACATATTATGCAAGAATTAAACAATTACACAGATTCGTGGGATTTGTACAGGGAGACACCCTATACAAGGTATACAGAACAGCAATAGAACCAATCATACTCTATGGAACTGAAGTCCTTTATGAGAACCTCTCCTGCAACCTCTCAAAGAAACTTATAGCATTGGAAATTACGGCAATTAAGATGGCGTATGGCCTACCCAGACAAACCTCTATCATAGATTGTCTACATCTCCTTAAGGATGAAGGAATAATAGGGAGAATTGAAAAAAGAAGGAGTAACTTCGTTGAAAGGAATAAAAATTCCGCACTCATCAGATATGGGGAAACCCTAAAATACTCCCAAGGCAGAAGAATCAGAATAAAAAATAATCACACTGATAGATCTGTAAAACAAAAAAAGACATGGAAAGGAAAACTTCACCTTCACAAACCGCACTTGTTCTTCTCGGACATAAATCCTGAGGCAGACTCCCCCACTACACTTCAGAGGCAAGACTCCTTCAAAGAAGGGTTCACAGCAGCATCTCCTACCCGCTTCCCAGAACAGGAGTTAAAAGAGGTCAGATTCGTATGCAAGCCCGAATACTCCAGAAGAACCACGTTTGACCCAAGATAGAACGGCAGTCTCTCGACCTAACCTGATGAAGACCACTACTTCGCTGATGGACCAGGACATGATGTATCCTACCAAAACTTTATCTGTGATAAATTATATCCATTTTTTTCTGTTACTTGACTTATTACATATGTTATAACTATATTTGTATATTTTTCTAACAGTATGTAATGTACATTTAAGGAGCCCGCCTAATGGCTCATAGAAATAAACGTTAATCAATCAATCAATCAATCAAAACTCATAATTTTGCGAACAACCAAGATAGAATTTGGCGGTTTTTTTGTACCAAAAATTTTATGAAATTGTGAAAAGTCTGCAGCAGCAGTTGGGGGAGCTTGACACCCGGACACTGCAGGACAAATGCCGGCATCCCTGTACCATGCATGCTCCACTGGCTCGCTGCAGTTGGCAGGGAACTTGGCACTAGTAATTCAAACTTCAAAGATACGCATGCATGTTAGCTTACACAGAATTGCATATTCTTCCAACTTCCATACAGAGCAGAAGAAATGGAAAATCGCTCCAGTTCCTGCATTCATCTGAAACATTTAGGTGATTAAATTATATTTTTGGAATTTCAATACAGAATAAATTAACAGGCAATACACCTGCCACCTGACAACCTTCCCTCCCCCTCCCACATGCGTTTCAAATCAGGAACATATTCAAGAATTTTTTTAAACAGTTATAAAGTTTTTAGAATTTTCGAAATTTCCTGAATTTTCAAAATTTTCAAAAATCGAATTTTGATGAGAGGCAAATTTTGAAAATTTGATCCTCCGTAAACCTTCCCTTGGGTCAGGTGATGTCCCACAAAAAATTTGGGCCCAATCGGTTCAGCCATTTTGACGTTTATTGGATACAAACAAACAGACAGACAAGCAGGCAGGCAGGCCGTACTGTTATCCTTAAACAATAAAAATATAAAAATCGATTGTTTATGGTTCAAATTTTTATGTCGTTTTTTTGCCTAAATATCTTCTGCCAGGGTCTTAATTTGATAAATTGTAAGAAAAGAAATACAACTTAAAAAACATGTTTCATGATAAAATATTCTTTGATTTTAAAATATTTATTGTTCAGAGCTGTTCGGAGAGAGGAATCTACCCAAACGTATGAAGAGAATCAAAAACTTTGAGACACTAACAATATGGAGTTGCTCGTGGAGTTGAGAAGATCCTTCTATTCTGGGAGGATTTTGAGCTGAGGAGGACAAGCTGAAGGTCGCCAGGGCCAGGAAGATCACGAGATTCTCCTAACCTTTCCAGGTCAGCTGACATTTTTGCAATTAAAATTTGTGTCTTTTAAATGGGAGATTTATGTCTTTTAAAAATTTAAAATTGCGAATGTTTTTATTTTGTAATTTTCAGGAAAACTATTATACTTTTTTTCTTAAATTCTTAAATTTTCTTTGATTTTTATTAAAATAGACTTTTGTCTAAATAAATTTCTTGTAAATTTTCTTAATTTTACAAATTTTAAATGGTGTAATGAATTTGGTTTCTTTATTGTGAATTGTGAATTGTGGATTTGTGGATTATTTTCAATTGTGGTTTCTCTAAAAGTGACTTGCGGATTTCTTGATACGAAACAATAGTGGGAAATTGTGTGGATTATACTTTTTAACTTGAAAAAAAACTATCTTTCACATTATTGATCAGATAAATGGTCACTTGAAATTACGCGTACACTCCCTTTAAAAGCCTTTTCTGATTAATATAAAGATATATATCAGTTATAGATAGAGATATGCACGTTAAAATTTTATTTAATTTTGATTGTTTATTATTCGTTCTTTTTTTCAATCATTAAAAAAATTGAATTTTTTAGTTTTCAAAATTACAATTCATTTTCCAGTGATTATAAATCATTTATAAATTGAATGTTGTTCTATAAAAATTTGAAAGTCCTCGTTTAGTTCTTCTTTCCTCTTGAATACTTTTCTTTCTTTCTTTTCTTTCATCCATTCCATCTTTCCTTCTCTTACTTCTTTTCTATTTATTCATCGATTTTTTATTTCAGTTAGAACCGGGCAATCTGTCTTCAGAATATAGAATGAAGTTCAGCCTACTTAGTTTACGAATTTACAGTACAGAATACCAGAGTGCACAAAGTACCAGAGTGCACAAAGTACCAGAGTGCACAAAGTATCAGAGTGCAAAAAGTACAAGAGTGCACAAAGTAACAGAGTGAACGAAGTACCAGAGTTTACAGAATGCCAGAGTACCAGTGTGTAACAGTGGATAGTTTTAGATCCTTCCACTCACAGAGTTTCAAATCATATACAAAAGATGGATTTAAGGGAGTCGCAAGCCCGAGCTATGGAGCTGTTAGCGGAAATATCACGGAAGAAAATATAAACACTGAAAAAGATAAAAGTGAAGACAATGTTGTAAACAATTTATATCCAGTTATTTGTGCGTTAAATATTTATGTTTGTTTCTATTCAAATATTTACGCTTGTTTCTAATCAATTTAAGTCATTTTAATTTTAATATTAAATATTTTAAAGCAACAACATTTTTTAAACTGTAGGTTTCTAGTTGCAATTGATTTACGATTGCAGTATACAGTAAGAATCAGAAAATTCTAAAATATAAAAACGTCTTTTAGACACAATCTTTGACTTTTATGTATAGTCCAATTGCTGCAGAGCGTTATAAACAGACTCGTTTCTTAATGATTTAATAGGTGTCTTGTAAAAGTGTTTTGTAACAATTTCCAATTCACTTAAATTTGGCTATAATTTCGGAGTTTTCTGGTTATTTCTGTAGGTTAAATGTTGAAATTGTACGATGTATTATCGTAGGTTTTTTATGATTAAATCACTTATTTGTAGGTTTAAAGGAAGTTGCAGTAGGTTAAAAGGAAGTTGTAGTAGGTCGAAAGCTCAGAATATATATAATATAGTGTGGTGGAAGACGATTCCAGTTGAAGAGGCTGAAGCCGGATATTCTGGCACGGCAAGATGTGCTTATTTTCTGCCACGTCACCCTTAAAAAGCAATCCAATATTTTAAACTTAAAATTTGTATTTTACTAGTAATAAAGTAGCTAAATTTGGTGACCCCGAGTTCGAAACTATAGGCAAATAGACTGTTGTTCCGTGCCATTATAGACTTTTTTTATAGCTACACGCTCGTCGAGTGAAATGCCTAAGGACAGTGATAACGTCCAAGCTCAAGCTGAACCCAGCTCGCTGGATTTATTAAACACAGTATCAGTGAAAGTTCCGGCCTTTTGGCCAGAGTCTGCGGAGGCCTGGTTCATCCAAGTCGAGGCCCAGTTTGCACTCAAAGGAGTGACGTCCAGTTCTACGAAGTTTTACTACTGTGTCTCCCCCTTCAACCAGGACACCACTAACCAGGTTCTCGACCTCATCAAGTCTCCTCCCGCTGCTCGTCCCTATGAAGCTCTGAAGAACCGGTTGCTGAAGTTATTCGCCCTCTATGACTACCAGAGGTATGAGGCGATCTGGGGATATGAAGCCCTGTAGGCTAATGTCAAACATGCTTGCCTTGCTTCCTGCTGGTCACGAACCATGTTTCTTTCTTAAAGGAGCCTTCCTCAAGAGACTCAAGAGATTGCCTGCCGATATTCGCGCCCATTTGATCAGAGACGATTTCTCCGACCCAATCTCTTTTGCCCTCAAAGCAGATGAAATATACAAAAGCAGAGTCTCCTCTTCTCAGGTTTACTCAGTTTCCAGCACGCCGGAGGACGAGCCCTCTGTCAACGCCGTTAGATCTTCAGTTCCTAACCGTTCTCGACGTTCTGCTATTCCTCACGCCAGCAACCGACAGGATAGCCGTTCCCAGTCTCCTTCCATGTGCTATTACCATCGAGCATGGGGGTCAAGGGCGAAGAAATGCAGAGCTCCGTGTTCCTGGTTGGAAAACTAGTTCACCGGCAGGAGGATCTTCATACCCTTCCTGCCGGGCCGTCTACTTCAACACATTTGGTTTATTTACAAGATTCACTCAGCTCACGAAGATTCCTGATAGATTCTGGTGCATCGGTATCAGTGTTCCCTGCTCCACGCTCTTCGTCCACCTCGTCAGGAGTCAGGTTGCTTACAGCAGATGGTTCCTCGCTCACATGCTCTGGTTCTCGGATTATACCTCTTCGATTTGGAGACCACAGGTTTGAATGGCCCTTCCAGCTTGCTCCGGTAGCCATTCCCATCCTGGGCGCTGATTTTTTGAAGCATTTCAACCTGTTATTAGATGTTGCAAACCAGAGGGTTTGCAGCTCCGATTCACCAACCTCCCCGTCCATCGTCCTTCCAACTGTTCCAGATTCCACGTCAGCTCCGTTCAAGGCAAATCTCCTCACCACTCTGAAGTGCATCCAGGACCTACTCGCTGAATTTCCAGACGTAGCCTCTTCGGACGGTTTCACAGCCTCTAAACCTCGTCATGGAGTAAAACATCATCTCCTTACGCAGCCGGGTCCTCCAGTTTTTGCAAGAGCCCGTCGATTGGATCCAGAGAAGTTGGCTTCCGCCAAACCAGAGTTCTCCGCCATGGAGAAGGCGGGTATTATACATAGATCTACCTCTCCTTGGTCTTCCCCCCTCCACATGGTCAAGAAGAAGGACGGAGGCTGGCGTCCCTGTGGTGATTACAGGAGACTGAACATGGTTACAATCCCTGATCGTTACCCATTACCTAATATAGCAGATTTTTCATCGAGGATCGCCGGTTCTACAGTATTTTCCAAGCTAGATTTGCAGAAGGGATACTACCAGGTTCCCATGGCTGAAGAAGACATTTGTAAGACAGCGATCATCACACCTTTCGGCATGTTCGAGTTTCTTCGCCTACCCTTTGGCCTCAGGAATGCTGGGAACACGTTCCAGAGAATGATGGATTCCATCCTCGGCGATCTACCCTATTGTTTCACTTATGTCGATGATATCCTGATCTTCAGCAGCAGCCTTGATCAACACGTAGATCATCTCCATGAGGTCCTCCTCCTATGTCGACAGCATGGACTGACTATCAGCCTGCCGAAGTGTGAGTTTGCGGTTCCTGAGATAGAGTTCCTGGGTCATCTAGTATCTGCTACAGGTTGCTCTCCTCTGGTCAAGCATACAACAGCAGTTTCTGAGTTCCCTGTTCCAGCTGACAAACCTGGTCTGCAGAGATTTCTTGGCATGCTTAACTTCTACAGGAAATTTCTCCGGGGGGCTGCTGGAGTACTAGCTCCCTTGACCAACGCTCTGAAGGGGGCTGGTAAGACTCTCACCTGGACCCCAGACCTCGACGTTGCCTTCCGCCGTGCCAAGGATCTTCTCATCAAGGTTCCTGAACTGACTCATCCTCGTCCGTCAGCGCTGATCTCCATCGCTGTCAATGCCTCAGATTCTCACGTAGGCGCCGTACTACAACAGAGGATTCAGGATGCCTGGGCTCCGTTGTCATTTTTCTCCAGGAAGTTGTCAGAAACTGAGAAGAAATACTCCACCTTCGACAGAGAACTCCTTGCTGCCTATCTGTCCATCAGACATTTCCGCTTCATGTTAGAAGGTAGAGAATTCTCGTTATACACTGATCACAAACCTTTAACATCTGCCTTGTTCAGGAGTTCTCCACCCTGGACTAGTAGACAGGAGAGACATCTGGCCTACATTGCAGAATTTACAAGTTCTATTGTGCACGTGCCTGGCTAGGAGAACGTGGTAGCTGATGCTCTTTCGTGCCCTAGCCCAGCTCCAGTCCCCTTCTCTCCGTTGTCTCCACTTCCGCCCCATTCCAAGTCAGCTCCGCCCCCTACCAAACCTTCTCCAATTTCTCCACCCCTGCTCCAAAACTCCACGTCATCTCACATTGCTCCAGATCCACCTTCTTCCCGAGTTCCTGCTCCGGAGGTGTCGGTGGTGTCGGAGGTGTTGGCGGTGTCGGAGGTGTCGGCGGTGTCAGTTCCTCAACCTTCTTCGTCGCCCAGCAATCAATCAATCAGTCAAGATTTTTCAATTCCCGGTTTTAATTTTTCTGAAATATTATCTCTACAGAGGTCTTGCTCATCAGTACAAGCCATGAAGAAATTATCTTCACTCTCAATTGTAAACATTACCCTGGATTCCGGTGAAATTTTAATTTGCGATAATTCTACAGGAAACCTTAGACCATTAGTTCCAGCAGTTCTCCGCAAACCTGTGTTCCTTGCTCTTCACAATATCTCTCATCCTGGAGTCAGAGGTTCACGGAGGTTAGTCTCCGCTCGTTTTGTCTGGCCTGGTTTAGCGTGAGATGTTGGAATGTGGGCCAGATCTTGTCTCCAGTGTCAACGGAGTAAAATACAGAAACATGTGAAAACTTCTGTTCCAACGATTCCTGTTCCCTCGAGACGGTTTTCTCACGTTCATATAGACATAGTTGGTCCTCTACCGTCCAGTCTGGGTTACTCTTATTTGTTAACCATGATTGACAGAACTACATGCTGGCCCGAAGCAGTTCCTTTGTCTTCAATTTCCACGGAGGCCTGCGTGAGAGCGTTTATCTCTTCCTGAATTTCAAGATTCGGAGTTCCAGCAACATTAACTTCAGACAGAGGTGCTCAGTTTACGTCCTAAGTGTGGGCTGGAGTCTGTTGAATCCTCGGAATTTCTATCTCTCAGACAACAAGTTTCCATCCACAGTCAAATGGCATGATTTCACAGATCCCTCAAGTCTTCTCTCCGAGCCAGAGCTGCTGATTCTGACTGGGTTTCTCACCTACCTCTGGTTTTGTTGAGACTCCGTTCAGTTCCTAAAGAAGACACTGGTTTCTCCATCTCAGAGGCAGTGTACGGTTCTCCCCTGACGGTTCCTGGTGAATTCTTGGAAGCTCCAGAGATTCCAAATGCACAATTCATCAGCAAGGTGGAGAAAGTTATAGCCGGATTTTCAGCTCCTCCGCCCCATCACGTTCAGTATTTGCCTCCAGTTGACGTTCCAGCGGCTCTCAGGACCACCAAGTTTGTGTTCGTTAGAGAAGATGCAAGCAAACCTTCACTCAGTCCTCTATATTGTGGTCCTTACCTGGTTGTCGAACGGCGGGGTAAGTTCTTCCGCCTCCAGATTGGTGATAAGGTAGATTCAGTTTCCGTGGATCGTCTAAAGCCAGTGTTCTCAGATTCTCCAGTGATTCCTGCAGCCCTTCCGCCTCGAGGGCGTCTTCCTCTGCGTCAATCAAAGGATCCTCCTGATCATTCTTCCGCTGCAAAGTCATCCGCCTCCAAGAAGAAGTCTGTTTCGTTCCTAACCCAACCTATAGTTATACCAAGAAGGAATCCTCACAGACAAGTCAGGAAAGAAGGCCTTGCTCCGCCGTGACTCCGCCTTGCCTTCTTGGAGGGAGTACTGTGGCGGAAGACGATTCCAGTTGAAGAGGCTGAAGCCGGATATTCTGGCCCGGCAAGATGTACCTATTTTCTGCCACGTCACCCTTAAAAATCAATCCAATATTTTAAACTTAAAATTTGTATTTTATAACAGGTGGCACCTGTATTGGTATGACATTATAATCATGTATTGGTATGTTATTGTGTACATTTAGTACACTGTTCTTGGGGGGATTTGTTTTGATCAGTTACATGATTTCTCAGTATAAACAAGCATGAGGTATTGTTCAGTGTTAAATTGTAACACGGATCAGACATACAAGATAAGATTTCATTCTTTTCCAAAAGATGAAAAGTTAAAAAAAAACGTAGAGTAACTTCACAGGAATGCCAGGTTTCTGGACTCCGGGAAAATTTAGTGTTGTCTGTGCGAAACATTTGGAAAACAAATACGTTTCCGGACGAAATTTAATTTATAACGCTGTTCCCAGTCTCCATNCTAAATACCCAAACACTGCACTTAGGAGTTATCACGATTCTAAACACTTTTAAATTAAAAGATATTGTTGTATTCCTTAAAATACCCTAAATAATTTGGTTCGTAAACGAATTTTTCCACAGAACAACGGGGGCTTCAACATCTTAATATCATCGGGAAGGTTTAAAACGAAATTGTTTTAAAAATGTATTTTAATATTTCATTCAGATTTTTTAGACATTCTTCTGAGACATGAACAGCCTAGCACTGTTCCCTCTCGGAGTAATTCTGCTCTCCCTCAGAAAAGTTCTGTTCTTCTACAGGGGAGTTCTGTTCTACCTCAGGGGAGTTCTGTTCTCCTACAAAGGAGTTCTGATTTACCTCAGAGTAGCTCTTTTCCTGCTGAGCCAGGTATTACTAGAAATTCATTAAAACGTTTGTTAAATTTTAAAAGAATATTTATCCTGTATTTTTACTCATAATTTCATGATTTTGGGTATTTAAGCGTGCATAAACATATCTTAGTATTTTTTTCTATATTGTTTAACAATTAAAATTTGTGATGAATTTTGTTAATTTTAGACATTGCAATTTTTTTTGTTTTAGCCAAGAACAAGAGAAAATTTGAAAAACAGGCAACAGAAGAATTGTACACCTCTAGCTTTGAAGAAATTCCAGAAAATGGATCTATTGCTGACGAAATTATCCAGCAATACAAAAAAAGAAGAATTAAGATGTCTAACTACTAAGCTAATACTGTTTAAAAATGAATAACTTTCAAATTATCCATTTTGAAATGTTAAAGAAATAAATAATTGAACAAATTTTACTTATTGTTTTGCTATTAAAAGTTTGCTAATTTCTTGTTTAAAGGAATGTGCCCCCCCCTCCCCCAACCCTCCCTGATATTGCATTTGTAAAAGTCCTCCATGAAGTCTTAAAGGAACTAGGACTTCCGAGAGAAAAGAGTTAAAAGGTTTTATAAACAAGGTTTAAAATTTGAATGGACAGGATTGTTGGCCAAGCGCTGTGGCCACTTTAATGTGCACATTTTCTTGCATGGTATGGTCGGTAATTTCTTAAAATTTTAGGTTACAAAGATAACAAGCATTTACTTAGTGTTTGGCCAAGTACTGTTGTTATCTAAATGTGAAAACATACATTTCTGTATTTTATTGTAGGTAATTATTTGAGGTTACACAGTTTGGCCTTGCTGGGGTCCAAAAGGAGGGGGGGGGTATTTATGTATTGTACTGCATAACCTCCACAGTCCAACACTTCCCAAACCAAATGCTGCCACCTGTTATTCTATATTATATATATTCTGAGGTTGAAAGGAAGTTGTAGTAGGTCAAAGGGAAGTTGCAGTAGGTCAAAAGGAAGTTGCAGTAGGTCGATAGGAAGTCGTAATAGGTTGGAAGCAGACTTTTTAGGTCTCTGTGGAGGTCGTCCGACGTCGCTACAAAGTCAAAAATAGGTCGCAATAGGTCAGAAGCAGATTTGATAGGTCGCACAGAGGTCACTGTGGAGGTCGTCCGACGTCAATGCGACGTCGCTACAAGGTCAAAAATGGTTGCACTTTACGTCGTGGCGACGTCAAAACAACATTGTATCGACCTAAGACCGACGTCATCCTAACGTCGGCCCGACATAAGACTACGTCGCCCTGACGTCTTGTCAACGTTGGTTGGTTATAGGGGTACCGGGTGTCCCGCGAAACATGAAAATAGTTAAATAGTTTAGAATGTCTTTTTCCATAATTTGTAAAAAGAAAATGAAGCAAAAGATTTTTTTTACTAAAAATAACGATTTATTAAATGTGCCGGGCCGGTACATTATACAACCTGCAACCAGCTTAGGCACTCATACTTCANTATGTTAAGGGGGGGGGGGGGCTGATTTAAATAGCTTATAATGCTGCTAAATTTAACTATTCACATAAAATGGTACGCACAAAACATTTTTTGAAATGTTAAGGGCAATTTATATGAATAGCTAGTTTGGCATTGATATGGATTAAGTCGCAAAATTTGCAAAAATTTTGTTACTTACATCAATGAATGGATATCAAACGTAAAACTTTGAACCTAGTAAGATATTTCGTAAATTAATGTATATTTACGAACCCCAATTACGTCAAATACCGTTATCTGACGTTCAAAGAAAACCTTAAGCTGACATTATATCTTTCGAAATGTAATGTAAATTTACGCTAATATATTACGTAAATTTAAAGTTCAATATAAACCTAAAACTAACGTTACCAACCTTCGTAAAGGTACGTAAGCTTACATTATATAGATAACATTTACGTTATTTAACCTTCTGTAACGTTACATTTGTTGGTACGTTCCATAACGTTGAATTATGAATGATTTAACGTTAGTCACGTAAAATGGTTTCTAGGGTAGTTCCACTATTATGTGACTTGCTGGTTTCTACTTCTGAAACAACAGAGGAATATGTTAGAAAAAACTAATATATCTTCTTCAATATTTATCTGATAAAGGAATTATAGATTACTGTTGTTAATCTCTCATTAGTTACAACAATATCATAACCTGTCCTAGCCGCGGTGCCCAGACATATGTGGCCGCAGCGTTCGGCCCCCTATACACTAATTTTATTAAAAATTGTTAAATTACAGGTCTTTCCTGGCTGCAGCGCTCGGCCCAGAATTGAGATTAACCTAACCTAACCCTAAAATATATAATACAAAATAACTTAAATTATTTGGTAATTTCCTAGAGACTTAAGGGACCCCAGGGAAGAACTATTTTATGTTTTTCAACTATATTATTTAAACAATTAAAAAAAATATTACTCATCTAACCTCTGACCTAAAAATATAACTGAACTGACCAAAAAAATATTGCTCATCCAACTTAAAAATATTGCTCATCCGACCTAAAAATATTGCTCAACCGACCTAAAAATATTGCTTAACCGACCTAAAAAGATTGCTCAACCGACCAAAAAATGTTGCTCATCCGACCTAAAAATATTGCTCATCCGACCTAAACATATTGCTCATCTGACCTTAGAATATTGCTCAACCGACCTAAAAATATTGCTCATCCGACCTAAAAATATTGCTCATCCAACCTAAAAATATTGCTCAACCGACCTAAAAATATTGGTCAACCGACTTAAAAGTATTGCTCATCTGACCTAAAAATATTGCTCATCCGAACTTAAAATATTGTTCAACCGACCTAAAAAATATTGCTCAACTGAATGCTTATCTAACCTAAAATTGTTGCTTTAACCAACCTAAAATATATTAATAACCGACCTAAATATATATTTCCAATCTTTCCCACCAAACCATATTACGTTTCTTACCAAATTTCGTTTTCTGTTTCGTTTCTGTTTTGTTTCTGTAATGTTACATGAAATGTAACGTTACATAACGTTTTAGAACCGTATTTGAAACGTTTCTGAATACCAATCCAAATTGTATGTTAATGAACAATTGTATTTGTCAATTATAAATTTCTTATGTAATTCCTATATGTTAATTAATTCATGCGTCAAAATGTGTAAATTATAATCTTTTTAAAAAGTTTCTGAATCGTAAAGTTACGTCCTGACAAACCAAATTTCGTTTCTAGAACGTTACAGAAACGTTATGTAAGGTAGCGTTACGTTATGGCTTCGTTTTCCTGATACGTAAATGCTACGTAAAACGAACCACTTTTTACGTTACTGAAACGTTTTCCAGTATCGTTTCCCAGAAACGTTTTAAGATCGTAAAGAAATTCGAACTTTTAACGTTTTAGTTACGTAAAACATTAATAAAAAACCTTTCAAATTTTGTTTTAAAATGTTCAAATGCAAAAAAAAATCTGAAGAAAAAAATCTTATATAAGTATATATACTTAATACTTCCCTTAATATTCTATATAGAACACTAAATCCTTATCCTAAATCTGTAGAGAACAATATATACTTATCATGTCTTTGTTTTTCATATTTATGAGAACACATACATACAGTGTAATGTTATGTACTGTAGAAAAGAATAAGATTAAAAATATACAGTAAATAAAAAATCATTGAAAATACTCCACTATTAAATNTTGCATATTTCTAAACATGATCTATATAATAATTATTAAATCTAGTGAAAGGCCCTTTGTTACGATTATAAATATATAGATATCATAGAATAATCAGGGATATTTTCACGTTTTGGATTAATGACTGAATTGTTGACTGTTTTGAGGGTTGAAGTTGAAGATTGATGATTACCCACATAACCAACTGACGTCGACATGACGTCAGGGCGACGTCGTCTTTGGTCGGGGCGACGTCGATCTGAAGTCGATTTAAAGTCGTTTAGACGTCGCCTTGACACAAAACGCACCGTTTTTGACCTTGTAGCAACGTCACCTTGACGTCTCAGCAACCTCTTTTTGGCCAACCAAACCTATACTGGCGTCGTCCCCCGTCTATAACTGACCTGCTACGACCTTCCACGACCAACTGTCAACCTACTACAACCTCCGACTACCTACACAGCGACCTCTCTACAACCAAACAAAGCTATAACTGGCATCGTCCTATGTCTATGACTGACCTGCTACGACCTTGCACGACCTACCATCAACCTACAACTTCCTCTCGACCTACTACAGCTTTCTTTTGACCTAATACAATTTCCTTTGGACAAACTTTCTTTCAACTAACTAATAAAAGTACAAACCATATACCCATCAATCAATTGCAACTATAAACAACCCTTCAGTTAAAAAAATGTTGTTGCTTTAAAATATTTTATATTAAAATAACTTAAATGATTAGAAACAAAAGTAATTCAAACACAAATTAAAACTCGATATAAATTATTTTTCACTTGGTTTCTTTTGTTACAGAATCTTGCTTCTATGAGTCTATTGAGATTTAATATCTTTTGAAGATTTCTTTTCTAATCACTGCACACATTCATCGATTCAGCCTGCTTATAAAAAGTCTCTTCAATAGGTGTTAACTTTGGTACTTAAGAAGAATTAGCAAAATTCTCATAGATTTTCATATTATTCATAGACGGCAATGTTATCTGAACTTCATTCTGTATTCTGACTCCTAATTTCCCAGTTCTATCTGAAATTAAAAATCGATGAAAAAATAGAAAAGAAAAGGAAAGAAAAGACGGATGAAAGAAAAGAAAGAAAAATATTTGGAAGAGGAAAGAAGAACTGAACCACTTAACTTTTTCGAAAAAATTTTGAAAACATAGTTTTACTAAATAACAAACAATTTTATTGAACAAAGTATTTTACTGAACAAGCAATTTTAATGAAAGCGCGACGTTCAGTTTAACAACTAACACAATAAATTGTGAAAACAAATTGATTTAATTTTTATGGATTGATTTAGAAGATTAACAAAATGGCTTGTTCATGAATGATGAACGAACAATATTACAAGTTGTACAACCCCATCTCTATCTATAACAGATATATTCATCAAAAAAGGCTTTTAAAGGGACTGTACAAGTAAATTCAAGTGACCCTTTATCTGATCAATAATGTGGAAGATTGTTATTTTCAAGTTAAAAGTTGAATTCACACAATTTCCCAGTATTGAAATCTGCAAGTCACTTTAAGAGAGAAACCACAATTGAAAATAATCAATTTTCAAAGAGGATTTAATTAAAAGAGTCGCTTGAAATTATGCCTACATTCCCTTTAAATAAATAAAAAAATATTTCAAGC